AAGTAGTTATTTGTTGCCAAGAAGAAGATGACTCTAGCCAAGAATATAATGGATGAGTCCCATACTCAACCTCTTCACAAATCTCAACATTAACATCTTCCAAATCATGCCTCCAGCTTTAAATTTTTGAATGAGAATAATGTTTTGTTTCACCATAAATCAGAGAGAGAGAAAGAATGAAAGAAGCAGTAAAACAAAGATACCACTATGAAGAAATCAGAGAGATAGAGAAGGGTCTTCAAAATTTCTTTACATATTTATTTTTTTCTTTATTTTTGTTATCTTTAGCGTAGAGTAAATATAACGATTTAGGTAATTAGGTCGCAATTACACGTAGAATTCGGACAAAGTATCATTACTCTTTATTAAATATTTATCAAGGGTGATGTAGTGATTTAAAACTTCTATAATAGGTTCACTTGTCTTCTCTCCTATCTTCCGTCCGTATTTGGGCGGATGAAAATTTGTGAAGCAGAAAGGATGACTTATCCTTCCTATTATCCTTTATTTTTATATATCATCTCTACCGAATGAAGGAAATTTGTTCATTCCTTCCTATTTTCTTCCATCCCTTTTGTTTCCTTCCTACCGAATAGGTCAAAATCGGTCCCTAAATCAAAAGGGTGGCCACAGATCGGATCAGAACTGATTAGGCATCAATTTTAATCCGATCCGCTCCGAACGGATTAGGCAAATCTTAATCAGCCACCGATCCATTATCCCACGGATCGGATCAAATTAGATCCGTGTAATAACGAATCGGGTCGGATTGAATCGTGGATTAAATTTTATCTAAATTATCCATTATTATTATTATTATTATTATTATTAATTTTATTTATTATTTATTTGTCTTTTAACCATAACCCAATAGATAAAATTTTAATTTATTTATATTAATTCATATATTTAAATAAGTATTAACTAATATATCCTTAAAATTCATTAAATTATTATTAACGAATTAAATTAATTAATATATTATATATATATATATATATATATATATATTTCACTGATCGAATTGAATCGGACTCATGGATCGGATCGAATTGTTAACAGCTCAATCCGTGAGTTACAAATTCGATTTTTTTTAATCTGTCACCGATTCGTGGCTGTAACAATTCGATCCGTACGGATCGAATCGAATTTGTGGATTCACGAATTATTTGTCTACCTCTAATAAATCACTACTCATCAAAATATGTCTCTAGTATGACTCACTTTAATGCATTTGACGGTAATAATTAATTAGTTAGACTATTCGGCTTGATAAATACATATATGTATCATTACTCAAAAAAAAACGCCACATATAATAGCTTAACATTTTTGAAGTATATAGTGATTAAAAAAAATTCAGCTTCAGTTTTTATGAACTTATCACCCTCCCGGTAAACATGCATGGAACATTATTCCATACCACTGTTAATTCTGGAAGGTTGAGAATGCATGTTAGACATCATGAATTATATTCCATTAAGTGTAAAATGTTGAACACTAGTCGGAAGTTGACGGGGATAGTAGGTAATTATGCACATGCATCTCCATATATTGTGGCCATTATAAATTTATAATCACCCATTTTGACTTGTTCTCCACTTCTAGACTAAAATACATACTGTATAAGCTTCTCCTTTTACGACTATCTTTTTTTTTATATCAATTATATTAGTTTGGATGGTTGGACCCACTGATAAATTACCAAAAAAAATATGTCAAGCTTTAGAACATCTCATAGGTAGCTGCTGAAGTACGATTCTAAAAACAATTAACTAGCTTGGTCAGAGCACAGCCGCAAAGGAGCCTTTTATTCCAATTCCCCCATTCCAACCACAACCAACACGAAGAGTATTTGCCTCTACGATTGTGTCGAATTTGTGTTCGACGTCGTTTTTAAAATTGACCCAACACGAACACTTACTTGACAATCATGAAATTAAATTTTTACAAATGTGTTGTATTTGTGTTCAACAACATGTTGATGGACTTCCTATTTATTAGGCTAAATAATGTATATTTCAATTATATTCAAGTTGAATATATTGTTTATGAATTTTGGACGAAGCACTTGTTTCTTTAAATTGCACGTATTAAAAGAAAACTAATCGGTTGGTGTATCATGGATGTAGCTTCGTAGAATTTATTTCATCTAAAATAGTCCAAAGAAGCACAAACCGTCCTAAAGTGAGCGCCTATTTGGTGTCTCATTCCCCGTCCAAACTTTACAAGATAAATAGGTTTATTTCGGATTGCTCTAATTTCAGTATTTTTCTTTAAAATTGCTGCTTGTGATTTTATTACTATTATTATTTTTATTTTTTATTGTTTTTTTGAAAGGTGAGTTTTTTGTGAATTGGACATGAACAACTTGATTGAATTATCAACCCATGAATATTCTAATTTAACATGTATTGTTGCACTGCAAATCTTGAAGATGGCGGGATAGTTTACTTTGACTGGAGATAGGTGCAATCAACTTAATCGAGCAGGGATGTCAAAGAAAGCAACTGGTTGAATAAATGGACCTTGTTATTAAGGCTAATCAATACGCCTGATTTCAGATAATGATCACCTCACTACCTTACTATATATACGTGTTATCCATACAAAATTTGGACAATAAGATGGTGCATGTAATCACAGATCCTGAGTGGAGTATGAGCAATATAAATTTTGACTGATATAGTATGAGCAATATAAATTTACAATATATATATATTGTAACTATGTATGCAAGTATACATTTAGCTATTTGCTTTATCTTAATTTGCCAATTGATATAGTTTTGGACTGTTCATCTTTTGTATATAATATTGTTACAAAGTGCTCATTTACAAAAATACGTATGGTGTTGTCAAAATCTAATGTCAAAAATTGACGAGTATATATATATATATATATTTCGAGTGGTCCGACATGGTGACTTTGGCCTAACTTAATCATTGCACCTTCTAGAGTACGTTAAACTGAAATTTTGCTTACAGCGTCAATTCTCACTAAGAATTGGATCAAGCACCGAAAAATGTGTCAGCATGGGGTTTGAATTTCTGATGGTCTAAAGGAATAATTTACTTTGGACACCAATTTACTCTGGACACCAATTTACTTTGGACAATCAATTCTATATCAGGACTATATTGTCTTCTGGACTACTTAGTTATCCATATAGTCATCGAATAAAAAAAATAATCTGTACGACTTTTTTTTTTAGCACTCATTAGCAGCACCTGTCCTACAGAAATTGTGGTCGACAAGTAATGTTCTTCTCCAAAAATTATTAGATAATACTGGACCAGTAACACTTAGTAATCTAATTTAATTCAGATTTTAAGTTTAAGAAAAGTGAATTCGTAAGTGTAATTATGTATTACAAAAATATCTAAATCTCAATTTTGGTTGGATTGAAGTCTAAATAGTTGATGATCGAGGACCATCCAATAGTTGGAGTTTAAATTTATGTTAAAAATCGTGGCTACACATATCAGCAGAGGTAAACTTTCCAAGTTCTTAGTGATGAGTTGCTTCAAAATATCCACCTCTCCCAATTCACAGCCATGCTCTTCCATTAAGTAGCACACTTTTTTCACTCATCTGTACATTTGTGATATTGTTTTAGGCAAGTTCTTCGATAAGCAACATGCAATCAAATTAGCCCGACTCAGTTTTGCTCATTTCATTGTAAAACCGAACAAAATCCTGGTAAATATATTGACCAAGTAAAATGAATGTGGAGTTGTTAGGTCACTTTGTAATGTGTTCAGGTGTATGGAATTAGAGCCTTGTTACTGGAATCCGTGAAATTTGAGAAAATTTTGATTCAAATTTTTTTTTTTTTTTTTTTTTTTTTTCAATTCCACCAATTACAATTCCAAGACTCCAATTTCATCCAACTGAACACACTCTTAATATTATTAATCATGTGGTTTCATTTCACATGATTCCAAATAGCCTCATTAATATTTATTATACCTAAGTATATATAAAATAAAAAATTATATAGTGCCCCATCTGAAACTATGTTTTATTTTTTTATTTTTTTTTAAATAAATCTCTAAATTTATCTTAGTTTTCAATTCTTACTCTGCTTCTTCAATAAATTATTTTTTTCTATTAAAAAAATTTACATTCTCTTTATTCAATCAAGCTCTTTTTTTTTTCCCCCTTCAATGTTCTCTCGTGTTGCTTACCCAAAAAAAAGTTGTCTCGTGTTTTTTTTTCTTTTTTCTTCTTCTTTTTTTATTTAGTTAAAGTTTTTTCGTCTTCTTTGTTTTTCTTTTTTCTTTACTCGTTTTTGTTATTGTAATTGAACAACTATAATGAGAATTTTCTTTAAATATATATATATAAAGTAAATACCTCTTAAATTTTAATTCAAACATTGTGCAACAAATTAGTTACCGAACATGTTTTTGTTTTGAAATAAGTCTCACACACACACACACTCAAAAAAAATTACTGTTTCTACTTCATATGATATCGAATATACAAAATAGAACTAGCTTGTTGTCAAAATTTTGCTTGTTTTGCAACTTTGAAAATAATTTTATGTTTTTAGAGAGCTAAAAATAAAAAATTTGTTTAGAAATTCTGCTTGGTTTAACTTTCTACAAACTCAGTTATAAAAAAGCATATTTTAAAAAAATTAAACCAAACAGAGTTTTTTGGACACACGGATGCAACCCTAGTTGTGCCGCCTCCCACCAAACAAGTGGATGACTCGCTAAGCAAAATGAATGTGGAGTTGTTCGAATTCTGTATGGATTCGACCCATTTTTTAAGGAAAAAGGTTTGATCCGCTTAAGGTTTGGAATGTGATATGAGAGAATATTGAAAGCCACAGTTTATAGTGAAATTTACAGTGGACTCTTCATCGTAGCTGTATATAGGTTTTAACGCCTAGTTATGTAAATCATTGTATTCTTTATCTTGTGCGTGCATGTTTACTACTCTATCATTTTTTTTATTTTATTGCGGTATTGATTCGTTGTAACAACGAATGCCAAACAGGAGCATTTTATTCAACAAATTTAATAGAAGGTGACCAAAACATGCAACAAAAACAAAATTAGGGTTTACATGATATACACAACCCTAGAGGACTTATTCATCGATAGTATTTCTGAACCCCCAACCCTAGAGGACTCTTAATTATTTCCTAGCTATATGAATGCTTCAAGCATTGACAAAGGGATAAATCTCATACCTAAAGTTACAACTCCCACCAACAACCCTCCCTCCTTCTTTCCCATCACAGCAACTTGGAAGTTCACTTATTGCACTATCAAGACACTTCTTACAATCAGTGCTTGAAAGATCCCTTGTGCACTGAACCAACCCATATAGTTTCTTGAAATCTCCGAGCTCTGACTCTCCGGTGGCGTACATTTTCGAACTATCATAAGCTTCCTCGGATAGCTGGCTCAGCAACTTCTTTGTTTTTTGGTTAAATGACTCCGGATCACTTACATTATTGACGTTATACAGGTAGAACTTGTTCTGATTGTCAATTTTGCCAAAGAAGTCAGTGTTTGAGTATTTTAAAAGACAGTAATCGTACCATATGATAGCTCCTTTGTTGTATGGACAGCGTTTGCGAATTTTGCTACCTGCCTCTGTAACACAAGATTTGCAGTCCGTGTTTGAGACATCGCCGCGACAAAGGGCAAGGCCGTTGGCTTTGTATTGGTTTTGTCCAACAGAACCAGCACCAAAACCAGTAGGAGGTGCTTTGAAGTAGAGATCACCCAAGAGCTTGTTCAAGTTCGTTTCATAAGGGCTATTAGTGGTAAAGTTTTCAGAACTTGAACAAAAATGGAAGAGAGGGTCAGCTCCAAAGACAGTTTGGAGAAGGAAAGCAAAGGATAGGACATACAAAGAGGAGGTCATGAATGTCTTTGAGGAAGACATGTTTGGAAGGGTATGCAAGAGTTGATATGGTTCTATCCTTGCTAAGTTGCAACATTTATATAGAGTAAAAAACTAGAGCTCCTAGGCATTAATGGTCAAAAGAGAGAGAGAGGATGGAGTGATTGACTTTTGTCTCTTTCGGAGTTCTTTTTCTTTTTCCTTTTCTTTTTTAAAAATAAAAAATAAAAAATTTCTTTGTAAGCCACTTGAAGTTTTCAACCTTAGCTGTTTATAACATGTCTTGTTGGAAAATTTCATTAATGGTATGTTGGACGTGCACTCGATCAACCCTCACATGTGAGTGGAAGAGAGAAGATCAACTCTTACCCTTTCTTTTTTTTATTTTAATATTTAGACGATTAGGTCTGAAAATTATTTTTTGATAAATTTTAAGAAAGAATAGCTATTCCTAATCAATGGATTCTAATTTAAATGGTATAAGCTCTCCTTTTTAAAAGAATATTGTGCATTCAAATTTAATATAAAACAAAATATTATAATTTTGTGTGCATTTATTTTTTGATAAATTTTAAGAAAGAATAGCTATTCCTAATCAATGGATTCTAATTTAAATGGTATAAGCTCTCCTTTTTAAAAGAATATTATGCATTCAAATTTAATATAAAACAAAATATTATAATTTTGTGTGCATTTATTTAAAATTTCGAAAACCATTTCTTAATTTTAGATGTCATACCAATTAATGTAAAAGATTTTTGGATATAATAGAAAAGAATTGGACATTTCCAACTTTGAAAGTTGTTATGTTTCAAATTAGATCATTCTATCATACTGGGGCAAAAGGAAAAATCTTTCCAAACATTATCCAAAGGTTCCCATTTTCCGCCGATTCGATGAGTTGTCAACTCCTTAATTGACTTTGAAACAGCTTTTATCTCTAGAAGCAAATTTTTTTCCCCGGTAGAAATGCCAAAATGCTCAGGATATCAGCAAGTACTTGGTATACATAATTGAGTTATTGTTATAACATTAATGAATGAAAATACGATTTTCACCACTTATTACATGCATTATATGTATCACATAATGATCGAAACTATATGTCATTGCTCTAATATTTTTATTTATACATTGACTTACTTTTTGAACTTTGAATTAAGTTAGGAGATGACAAAAAACTGTTATATGATTTAAATATTAAAGTTATACCGTCTTTAATAATTTAACTTATTTTTTAGAGTAAATATTTATTGTAATATAATATTAGAATAATTCAAATCTCATCATCATTCTAAAAATTAATTAAATTTAAATATGTATTGAATCAAAAGGAGGACATACTTAACAGAGTATGGTAGAAAAATTAAAATTACAACATCCTTAAACTTATTATTATCATTTGTGATAAATAAGCATGGAACATTCAATGCCATGTTAATTCTGGAAGGTTGAGAACGTTAGAGATCATGCATAAAATTTATTCCATTAAGCCTAAAATGTTGAATACTAGCTTCAAGTTAACAGTGAGAGTAGGCAATTAATTATGCACATGCACCTTCATTGTGGCCGTTATAATCAACCATTTGACTTGTTCTCACTTCTAGATTAATTAAAATTCGTCCATGCTATGTTTGACGATATCGAATTCAACTTTGGATATATAGTTGGATCAAATTTAGTACAAAATTTGAACTATATTTCATTTAATTCTAAATCTAAAATAACGATTCGACATTTGCAAGCATAAACTTTTTCTCTTTTATTATATCAATTGATAGGGAAAAATATAAACCTACCCTACCTTCGATAAGATTGATTAGATTTCATTATCAAGGATAATGAAATCAAATCTGACGTGGTTCAACAGGTAAGAATAATCCTACTATAACTGGAAGAGGTCAAAAGGATTAAATCATATCCCCGACAAATTTGGCAATAAATCTCTTATAAATTCGCACAAGCGGAAGATAAGATCAACCATCCACATCGGCGGAACGATTTTGATTCCAATCGACAGCCATAAATAGGGCACCAGGCCATTAAAGAAGGGACGACGTAAAAATTATTATTAATCCCTGCCTTCTTTTTAGACCTCCGTGACTAATTTAATCATCGGAGAGCTCTTGGCAGGCACCACACCGGTGCCGTCAAGGTTCATCGATCTTCTCCTCTCTTCCTTGCAGGAAAACGGTATCGTATCGGACTGCGCGAATTTCAGCCTCAACAGTTGGCGCCGTCTATGGGAACGACGATTCCCTTGAATCAATTAATTACTCGTTGGGTATATACGTTTGCAGTCCGGTATGGTTACCGAAGGAACACCGTCGCAGGGATCTGGTCAATGGGTAGAGTCGGGTGAAAACCTGGACGTCCCAAATGACCAGGCACGGCTTGCAGTGTTGAAACTGCAGGTTCAATCTCTGAGTCAGGGTATGAACTAGTTGATCCAGCAAAATGCAACGCTCTTGCAATACCTTATTCCACCGGTTTAACAAAACTTTCCAGGACAAGATCTCTCAAGTCCAAACGGAGGTAATGGGAATCTTGAAAAGAAGGATAATCATCCCCTCCCCCCCCCCCCCCCCCCCCCCAAAAAAAATGAGACTGAAGTGGAACAAAGCCAGGTGGGAACCCGACATAGAGAGGTGGTTCACCCATCTTTCCCACGGAGTTCCCGACCTCCTTAAAGCATAGCCTTCTGTCTTAAGGAAAAGACAAAGAAAGTTACCCATCTCGGCTTGCAGATCAAGGATCTCAAGGGGAAAATGGAAGATGTAATGCAAGCTATGAAAGGGAAAGGTCCTGCCGCCGTAGATGACCTGGTACAAAGGACCAACCTGCCTTTCAGCCCTGCCGTTATGAAATGTCCACTACCTAGCAAGTTCAGGATGCCCTCGATCACCTGGAAAATTTTCAAGCTCTTATGCATTGACACGCTGTGCCAGATGAAATCATGTGCCGGGCTTTTCCCACTACACTTAAGGGATCAGCGAGAGTTTGGTTCAACAAGTTGAAGCCAGGAACCATCAACACCTTCGAAGAATTGAGTAAGCAGTTTGTGAGCCACTTCATTGCAGGTCAGAGGTATAGGAGGCCGGCTACCTACCTGTTTACCGTGGAGCAACAAAAGGAAGAGTCGACTTGGGAATACATCACCCGATTCAACGCAGAGATGTTGCAGGTAGAAGAGGCAGACGACAAGGTAGCTTTGACCGCTTTCATATGAGGACTCCAAACCTCCAGATTCTTGTTCTCCTTATTAAAAGAACCTCCCACCAGCATGATAGAGTTGCTGGTCAGAATGCAAAAACACATCAACGCTGAAGACACCATGAGTGCACGGAAGGAAGGAGAGAACAAGAAGAGGCGAGCCCCTCTCACCAGGGATGAAAATAATACCAAATATAAGAAATCGTTCTTCATCCAGAGCAACAGCACATATCATGAGAATGACTCAGATGAGTGTACCAACTAGAAATTGTCTCACGGCTGGAATTAGCCTTATTAAGTCATTCACAATAAAGACTAGGGGCATCTTAGTTAATCATTTTAAATGGAGTGTAGCTCCATCACGTATTATTTTGTTTTTAATAAGCCTTGAGGTAATGATAGTTTTTAATAAAATTCATTTTAGTTTATACGTGCAGTATCCCTGTACTATAAGGGATAGTAAATGAGTGTCTTGTATTACAAAGACTCGGGCTGAGTGAATCCGGGAATCCGTATCCCCGTACTATAAGGGATAGTAAATGAGTGTCCTGTATTACAAGGACCCGGGCTGAGTGAATCCCGTAATCCGTATCCCCCGTACTATAAGGGATAGTAAATGAGTGTCATGTATTACAAGGACCCGGGCTGAGTGAATTCCGTAATCCGTATCCTCGTACTATAAGGGAATAGTAAATGAGTGTCCTGTATTACAAGGACCCGGGCTGAATGAATCCCGTCATCCATATCCCCGGACTATAGGGGATAAGTATCCTGTATTATCAGGACCCAAGCTGAATGAATCCCGTAATCCATATCCCCGTAATATAAGGGATAATAAATGAATGTCCTGTACTACAAGGACCCGGGTTGGATGAATCCCGTAATTAATATCCCCTTACAATAAGGGATAGTAACTAAAAATCCTTTATTAAAGAGGTGAGCTGAGTAAAACTCGTAAAGTTCAATTTCCTTATTAAATGGACGAGCTGAGTAAAACTCGTAAAGTTCAATTCCCTTATTAAGGAGTGAAACTCATACAATTTATTCCCTTATCAAAGGAAGAGTACTGTTCCCTCGAGTGCAAAAAAAAAAAAAAAAAACTGTTCATGAACAATACCCGCGGTACTGTTCATGCACAGTACCCGCCGGTACTATTCCCTCGGGTGCAAAAAAAAAAAAAAAATCCTAAGTTACTATTCACGTGAATAGTGCCCGCAGGAACAGTACCGCGAGTACTGTTCACAGGGGTATTAAAAAAAAAATTCCCTGAGTTACTATTCACATGAATAGTACCCGCGAGTATTGTTCACAGGGGTTGAAAAAAAAATCCTGAGTTACTATTTACGTGAATAGTACCTGCGGGTATTGTTCACAGGGGTTGAAAAAAAAAAATCCTGAGTTACTATTTACGTAAATAGTACTCGCGGGTACTGTTCACAGGGATTGCAAAAAAAAAAAAAAAAAAAAAAAAAATTATTATTATTTATTACATTTCCAAAGCTAGACATGCAAGCTTGGGAATGGGGGGTAACTGATAGGGAAAAATATAAACCTACCCTACCTTCGATAAGATTGATTAGATTTCATTATCAAGGATAATGAAATCAAATCTGACGTGGTTCAACAGGTAAGAATAATCCGACTATAACTGGAGGAGGTCAAAAGAATTAAATCATATCCCCGACAAATTTGGCAATAAATCTCCTATGATTTCGCACAAGTGGAAAATAAGATCAACCATCGACATCGACGGAACAATTTTGATTCCAATCAACAGCCATAAATAAGGCACCAGGCCATTAAAGAAGGGACGACGTAAAAACTATTATTAATCCCTGTCTTCTTTTTAGACTTCCGTGATTAATTTG